CATCATTTCTGCTTTAGTTTTACGTTTGTTCTTGGCGTGAGGAAGTCTTTCTCTTTGATTTGCTGACCTTCCCAGATGCTACGAAAAGGTGGAGAGAAGTAAGTGAGTAGGGCTATCAGATGTTTATCTGGATTCTTCTAGATATGACTCCCCCTATCACACAGGAATATTTTTCAAAATACAAGGAATTCCTTGGATCCTTGGACATCCCACCATCCACTCACATCTTCTAAACACTGATTTAAACCAGCCACTGTTTGCATGGATGGTGGCATGTTTTTACAGTGCATGTGCTCTTCATCTGCATGTCCTGGAAATAGTAAGTCCATCATTTCCTTGTAGCATTTTTAATGTGCATGTCCTACTTAATCAGTTGATTTTTTTCAGTGTGATGCATGGGAAGCTTGAGAACACTGTCAGGAGGAGTGCAACCATTTGAATGAGTGAAAGAAACTCCATTCTTCAAGGAAAGCCCTTTTTCATATTTCTTTTTCTGAGAGAACAAACATGCTCTGAAAAGATACTTTCTGAATTCAAGGAGATCCCTTATATTGGGGAATATTATTATGCTATTCATACCTCTAGAAATATTATGAGCCTTCATTATCTCAATTTAATTAAGTACTAAGTACTAAATTCCTGCTATGGGGAAAATAAATACTAGATTATTCTACATTTCAGACATAGAAAATCTAATTGTGGAAGTATCAAGATGAGCAATATAACACCAAGTGTTTCCTGACAATATCCCCATCCAGTTTTACAGACCTTTTTTGGGTTGCTGGTCTGACGTTTCCTCAAGCTATCAGATTTCAAGGTCTTCCCAGAGAGAAGAAAAACAGCATTTCATACTCTGCTGTGCTTTGGATTACAACAGAGTGAAGAATTGTTAAGCAAAGCTAGAATAGCAAAAACAGATGCATTAGCTGGATCAGAGAGGATATACATAGATATTTAATTAAAATATCTCACTGTAGTTCTAGGTCCTTTGACTATTTACTCCTAAATCTCCCAGTGCAATGAAAATTATCCAAGCAAAAACCAAAGATAAATGAAAATAAGTACAAAAGCAGTTGCTGCTAAGCAGTTAATCTAGACTTAGACTAGCCTTCAAACTCCTTCACAGCTTATCCTGAAAGGAACAAAACATTTCATCTTTCAGAGGCAGAAACTAGGCCTGTGATGTTATCTTCCTAGTGGTACGGCTTTGAACTGTGACATTTATTCTGGCTTCCACATTCATTCCTATTCCAAGCTTCATTCATATTTGCAGATATTCTTTTGTCACTGTTATTCAGCTTTTTCCTTGAGGCTTTCATTTCTCCCATAGAAAAGTGTTTTTATGAAATTTCTCCATTGAATTTCATGATCACTTCTGAAAGCAAAGAGCACTTTCTGATAACTTTATCTCTGCCACAAAGAGGATGTGTTAACAGAAGGGATCTGAGCAATGCAGATTCAAACATTAAAGAAATTCTCACTGGTTGAGTGATACTATGCATATGAAATCATTTGAGGAAATAAAGGTGAATGCTTGAGGTGATATTTCAGCCCATGTAAGCTCAAAGCTTTTCTAAGGATTTTAATGGAGCCTGGGTTCTGACCCTTTCTTATTGTTCATAACTGAAAAGATAACTAACTGATAAATAAAGATACACGTAACAATTCCTTTCCTTTTTTTTTGACATAGTAAGTGAGCAGAGAGCACCAGATAGGGGAACAGCACAGAAATAGGCAGGATAAAACTATCAAGTGACTGTGAACATAGTCTGATTGATAAACTGGGATCATTTGAGCTGCCAAGAGTTCCAGAGGAGGAACACTGGGCCATATAAGTGCAACGCATCCGCAGACCTACTCTTTGAGTGCAGAAGAGAGATCTCTGGGCAGAATGAGCACAGTTCAGAGGAAGCTGAAGAGGTGTATTTTAGCAATGCCACTTCATAAAAATGATAACTTATTTACTGAGAAAAATCACAGGAGTTTAGATGGTCATGTCCCCTCGACTCTCCTTTTCCCTAAAATGGATCCAGCTGCTGATGCTTGTCTTCACTGAATCATCCTGTGCAAGAACCCAGTTATTTTATCCATTTCCCCTTTTTCCTAGTTGTATTCCTGATGATTGGTTCCTGTGTTTTTCCATGAATATGAGTCTTTGAAGAAATAAAAATCTTAAAACCTGTCATGCCCTTCATCCTTCCCAGAGGAACCGATTCCTCTGCTCTGCCATAGGAGAGGAAGTAGGGGACTCAAAGGAGGAGCAGAGAGCTAGAAAGACAGTGTGGAAAATCTCAGAGTGGTGTAGCATTTAAAGGCAATTGCTGAATTCCCACTGAATTGTGCACAGCTAAATAATGCAGTGTCTAATTGTTGGATTAAAGTCCCTCCTTTGTTCTAAGTAATTAAAAGGTATCAAGCTAGTAAGAAAAAAAAAACCACAAAAACTGTACTTAATGAAGAGAAATTATTTAAACAATTCCAATGTAATTCTAATGTAAGATTAGACTGAAAACTTAGAATTGATTTTCATTTTGTTAATTAGTTTTCATTTTCTAAGCTGTCTGCTTCCTACAATAAACACAACAGGACTTTTTATAGCCCCTATTTATCCCACTTTCGCACCTTTCAGGACTTTTCCATGGCAACATCACACCAGTCCATCAAAACAATTAGCAGTAACTTGGTGTGTTACCTGAGTCAGCATCTCATGACAACTGGCCTATTGAAGAGAATATGGGGCACATTACTGCTGTGGGTAGTGTTCTGCATCCTTTTGTTCAGCTTGGTGTTTCTACATTCTTGGTACAATAAAATTACTGAGGAGTAAAAATTTTGTTAGATAAAGACATTTTTATTGTAGGGTTTCTTCCATTTACTGATTTCTGCAGGAATTACTTTTCCTGGATGAAAAGCAACATTATATTTCAGTTAAAGAGTCTATTGCAGGAACAAGAAAGGAAACAAATTCCAAGCACAACAGCCTGTGATGCCTTATTTTTTTGTTTTTTTTTTTTTTTGATGCTGATCTACACCAGCTTTTTAACCAACACAGGTTGGTCTCTCTTTCCCAGTTTTGCTGTACAGGCTGGCACATTGATCCCCTTGCCTCTCTCTTCCACACCTACTCCAGCCATCCTTAGGAGAGGAGGAACAACAGCCTGTCCCACCACACACCAGTGCATGATCAGAGGAGAGACTAGACAAAATAGAGCATCAGGTATGCAGCATAGCTCCCAGCTAGGACATGAAATCCTACCTCTGTGTTCCGCAGTGACTGTAATTTTAGTTATCTATATTAAAGCATCTCTGAAAAAAATGACAAGAAACGACAATGGTCCTTTTTTATATAAAAGGATAAATAGAGCATTTTATTAATACTTTTTTTGCAGCAACAAAAGTGACACAGTCCACATCTTTTTCATTAAACACAGCAAAAGCTATGGTCACATTTTACATCACTTTGAGGCACAAAGCAAAATACTTTTTTCTTAAGGTCAAGGTATGATTTGTATTAAAAAAAAGGAGAAGAAACAATCCTCAAGTTGTATATTGCAGTAGCAGGGTTTCCAATCACTAGCACAATACAATGAACAGACCAAGAATCCAGAATGGATTATTACATACAATAATAATCATTTGATTGAATTAAGAAATGGATCATTGTTGTCATTTTAGAGTATTAAGAAGTGGTCTGGTGTTACTAACTTCAGTTGGTGCCGTTTGGTTTAATTCCAACAACCCCAAATATATACAACAAGCTAAATGAAGGTTACTATATAGTCTAGAAGGTTATGCACTTCATAATGCATTGCACTTATTGCTTGGTACACTAATGTTGCAGTCACTGTTCAGTTATGCTAAAAAGACAAGCATGATGCTTGTTGGCTTCTTTCAACCCAACACTAGTTATTTACCACTTTGGTTTAATGTGAGTTTATATGTTACTCATATTCAGTGTCCATTATTATTAGGCTTAATGGAAAGACAGGTACATTTTCTTTTATTTCAGGGATTTCTAAAATAGCAACATTTTCTATAATTACAGTATTTTCAATAAACTTATATCTATGTATACAATTGTGGCATGATGTGTAAAAATATGAAAGCTATTAAAGGAAGCATAAGGGTTAAATTATTCTCTTTTTCCTCTATTGGCTTCAAAATAGTCTGCAGAACAAATACATCCTTTTTATAGGGCTACTTGCTCATAGTAAATTTCTCTTTGGAATTTTGTAAAAGACTATATTTTTTTTAGGTTATATTGGTTTTTTTTTTCTCTCTCTAAAGACACCAGTACAAAGTTGGAGTATTCTGCAAAAAACAGAATAATAAAGCTTGTTTTTTTGATAAAGGGATGTGACAGACTTAACGTCATATATTGTTTTACTGTTAGTTGGTAAATGCAGGGAAGAACATGGCAATGCCTATCACTTCATAAAATTCTGTAAAGAATAGAAATAAGAATTTGTGCCCAAACATTCAGTATAAAACTCCTAAATAATTCCTTTCTTCATCACAGAGTAGCCTGCAGCATGTAATCACAATAAACATACAATATGCCCTATTTGTTCTTTAGGCTTGACACAATCACCATTAAGGGAACTGGACCAATCCAATGTAAATGCCTAGGACTCAAACTTTCTTCTTCAAGAAAGCTCTTAGGCTAAATACACAATTCCTACATTGCACAGAGTAAATGTGTGTATTTAGCACAATCTCTTTCAATACAGTGTAACAAATATATAAGTGCATTTTTAATGATCAAGTAATTTTGACTTTCTAAGAAGAGCATTAGATGTGCCAACTTGGTTGCTTAGTTGTGCTTTAATCCTTAGTTATGAGTTTTAGCTCTTGTATACTGTATGTATCTAATTGCCTCTATAGTTTTGACCAGTAAACCCTTAAAACTCTAATGTTTATAGAACAAATATAACCTAATGAAAGTGATGACATGTCACAACTCATACAAATTGCACTTTGATGTATTTTTTTACAGTAAGACCTTCCTGTCTGATATGTGTTTACATATTTATACCACATTTTATTTCTGTGTGCAAACAATCACAATGAATTTAATCACAAACACTACAAAATATACCCAATATTTAGGTTTGTTATGAATAATCTCCTTCCTTGTAGGTGTATGAGTCTTGTACTTCCTCTTGTACAAATTCCTCTTTTTTCTCCCAACCATTAGGCCAGCCACCGTTGACCTGGGTTGTAGCACCGTAAGACTTGGTGGTACCATAATTTACATAATTCTGAGTAATGTCCCCTGTCTCTTCAGCAAGTTCATCTTCATGAATAAAGCCACATTTCTCTTCACTTGTCTGCTCAGGGTCTGCCCACGGTTGTTTCTCTCCTGAAGCAAATATGCCATAGAAGATAACACCCCCATAATGAACTAAAGCAGCAATGAGGAAGACGTACTGCCACTCTTCACGTGTCTGTAAAGAAGAGATTTTTTCAATCAGACTAGTGCATAGACCTATCTAACTCCTCTGAGATGAAAGATTTAAATCAGGGATTGAGGCTGCAAGAGTCAGCACAGCTAAAACATTTAATTGTCCAGTTTCCAATTATTTATATCTATCTTTCTTTGAAAAATCACTGTTCATTAGCCTACAAAAGCACTGACCAGGTGGTGAGCATATAATGGAGCATACTTCAAATTTGCAAGTTACTGGATACTATTCCCTGGAGGTTCCAGGCTCTAATATGGCGACCTGTACTATGGAAAGGTATTTTTCTTGAAGCCAATAGTATTAAACTAGAAGATATGAAAATGGTATCGCTGTTTACCTTGTTCTTTGTCATTGCTCCGACAATTATAGGGCAAACCATTCCAGACAAGGTCCCGACTCCATTAGAAATTCCCATTAAGATGCTGGCATACCTCGGGGCAATGTCTAAATGGTTGACATTGAATCCTGCAATACAAAGGTCAGCAAACATCCATACCCAAAGCAGAGCATTACTTCTGTTCTGAAAAGTAATGCTGTCACTTGGCAATTTTACTATAACGTATTTGGGCTGTTTAATTACTTTTTTTTTTTTTTCTGAAAGGCTTATAATGGTTAAATATTCCTAGAGAGACTCTGGGTTGCTAATTTCTTTAAAAATATATTTTAAGAGGATACTGAATGTATATTCTTCCCAGAATTGCAGTAGTGACTGCGTGCAGTAGAGAACCCAGAAGGTATTTAGACAGGGAGAAAGTTCATATTTCACAGTGTTATTCATGGCCATTTCATGGTGTAAATAACATTTCATGTCTTCCTCCAGCCTGTACCACTTCCCTTCCCTGTTGCCCACATTTTTCTTTTTGTGAAGCAAACCAGCAGAAGGGAGCTCCCTTCTGTGCTTGAGTGGTAAAAGGAAGCGGGGCAAAAGACAATATCTATAAATGCTGTATTAATTATTTTTATCACTGTTTTGTTTGTTGTCTTGAATTTCCAACGGCTTAATTCTGTTGCAATCTATGAGGTAATTAGAAAATCTGAGGGGCAAAAGAAACAAACCATGCTTCTCTGAAGTGACAGAACTCATTGTCCCCAAAATAAGAGCCGAAGCAGGTGAAAACAGAAGGCAAATCTTTGGAACCAGAAAGATAATAAAAAGCAAAAGGAAGGCAGCATGATATGGATAACTGTTAAAGAAAGTGCAGGACACCTTTTCAAGCTGTACAGAACAGGCATAACACCATGCAGAATAAGTGGGATTTAGGACAGATTTGATTAAGCAGAGTTTAGGTGCTTGGCACAGAAGAAAAGAGAGCCTGTTTTAGACATAAGGAACCAGCATGGGAGAGGATGCTAAGATCACAGTGGGAAAACAAGGGACAGCCAAGTGACTTGTGCTTGGGACAGGCAAAGGCAAAGGGGTAATATATCAGAAGGAAAGGGCAAGAGATTAATTTTAAATCAGAAAAAAAAAAGCTAGTGATTAAGCCCCAAAGTAATAAAATAATGCAACATTAACAAAACATTAACTAATATACACTGAAAAGAAAGTAAAAGGCCTATATTTAAACAAAAATGTTTAAATTTAGGTAGCATTGTATAATAGCAATGCATTTATGCTATATGTTTGATTTCATAAAAATCGAGGGTGTATATTAGCACCTCAATGAAAAGGCAATCTTATTAGCTGCAGTGAATATGGAAAAGATTGATGGCTTTGAACAACAATAATCTAATGTAAAAGATGTGGTACTGATTGTACTTTCCTTTGTAATGATCATAAATAGTGCCATTTGGAATCCTGTGGTTTGTTTAAATTATTATCAGTGAGTAAATACCAAATTAGATGTTCTATCTTCTGAGGTAAAATAATTTACTAATAACAGCAATATAATCTTACCAGATATGGCGAATCCACTAAAGCCTACAGCAAGCACTAAGAATGAAATAGCCACTCCTTTACTGTGAGAGTACCCCACCACGAGAAGAAGAGTTGCTTCCATACCAAAACCTGGTGAAATCATAAAGAAAACCAAGCACCAGATATAATTCCCTCTCAAATATTGCAGGCCTTAGGATATGATAATATTTCATAGGAAGACAGAGGCAAAATATTAGTTCCGAGTGGAATATAATCAGGTTTTTCTTTCATCCATAAAAATGTTCTTGCTATCTCAAATAATCCTTATTTTATTCTTTGCATACTAATTTATTGGTACCTCCTGTCATTTTGGAGATTAACAGAAATACTTGTGATTTGCTTGTGTCCTTCCAGCCAGCCCTGATAGGAATATACACTTAACCTGCCCTTATCACAGCCAGGATTCAGCTCATGAGACTTTAACCTCTCAGAAGTCAGGGGTGGAATCTCAGGTAGCAGTCTGGGCTCTCTTAGTGCAAAGGGTGTTTAGATGAGGAGCTAAGGGTAAGGAAATGACCTGCCAAAATCTCATCTGTTTCTTTAAGAATCTAAACACTTTCTCAAATGCCAGACATCTATATTGGAACTGAGAATAGGAACAACTTTGTTTACTTTTATTTAGTAACCACATCTAGAATACACAACAAATGCACAAAGTACGTAAACCCATGCAGTTTGTTTCTGCATACTGTATGGACATTGAATCTGTATGAGAAGCTTTGTAAGCAAATAGGAAGTCTTACCTCCACAGTTCATTATCTTCCTCACAGTAGTGGTTGAAAGAATCTGTTTGCTTCTCAAAAAGTCTGCAATTTGTCCCCCAATAGGAACAATAATTGTCATCACTAAATGCGGCACAGCAGATAGGATACCCACCTAAAATAATCATTAGAATTAGCAGAGTATAAACTGTAAGAAAATATTGATCATTTTCCGAAGCAGTCAGTAACTAATGATTTTTTTTCTCTTCATGTACAGGCTAAACCAAAATTCTTAACTTGGTTTATTAAATGAACAAAACTGGTGACCTTAAGTTGTAGTTGTATTTTGTGAAGGACATACAGTCTTTAAGAACCCCAGATGCCATGAGACTTTTTGTTTTAGATTGTTTTCACAGTTTACGTTTAAGCTAATGGCTTTTCCCCTGACTTACAGACCTCTGATCTTTCTTTTTAGAAAACTGATGATCAATTGTGTTGAACTGAATGGACACATTTCTGTTGGTGATGTGTTTGGTGCAGCATTGCCCACAAACCTAACATGTCTTGGCAGGTTCCTTGTGGATCATCCTCACATGCAGCATGGCCTTTTGCCTTTGATTTCTGACCATCCCTCAACCTTCAAATTTCATGTGGGCAAAAGATATCTCTGAGAAACTCTGAACATAGTGAAAGAGAACATGCTAAATATCCATTGACAATATTCAACACATACTAGCTGAGTAAGACATAGTCATTTTGTGGTGACTGTTCCAAGCTATAATAATATATGGGAAGACCCTTCCTTCAAAGCAGATTAGGTCATCCATAAGAATGGCATGAACTGCCACCTTCTATCTCATGTCAACAGAACTGCCTTTGTTTAGTACACGTGGCATTTTGTTCTAATAGGGAAGTCTGATTATTGTGTATATCTGAAAGAGTGCTTAAGCACAGGGGGGGTTGTATAATTCCTGTCTGAACAGTCTGTCAGCTGGCCTGGTGTCTGACTTGAGTTACAAGCAGACAGAATCTGTGAGAACGAACAGAAGTTTTCTCTGCTCTTCAGCTAAAGGTGTCAAACTGCATTTCACTGCAGTTTATGCAACTAGCAACTATGTTGTGACCCCTAGCTTCATGGTAGTAGATATTTCTTCCAATAACACAGGTATTAACCAGGAGGAAACTACAGTATTGCAGTTACTCATTTGAGGCGTTCTTATTAAATGCTAACTATTCAATTCTGAGCATCCATATCCAAAACTGACCTGCTGTTGTTGTTTACAAAGATCCACATTTCTTTGAATACACTCTGAGAAAAATCTTCTGGAACAAAATGATCAGATGAATTCAATAGAACTTGACCATTTTTATTACATGTGTAACAGATGATGTTTCAAGCTTGGCAAAGTTTCTTAATCGAAGTCCAGTTAAATACAGAAGCCCATCTTTAAATGCAGGAAGACTTTACTCCATAATGCAGCAACACTTTGGAAACTACTCATCCAGTTGTCACACCTCAATTTAGGGTGACAATACCTGAGTGAACAATAGCAAAACAATACAGGTCTCTCAAAAGCACAAGCCCCCAGCGCTTTCACAAGCAGGAAATCTGTATTAGTAGAAAGCTTACTATAACTCTGAAGGCCTGTTTGCATGTATCCCTGTTGACATTCAGGTCTGATCCAAAATTCATATGAATTATGTGGAACCTTAGATCCTCCCTATGCCTCACATTTTGTCACCATCTCTTTCATTTCCTAAGTGAAAAAGGGGGAGCAGTTCTCACCACATTAAAGGGGCATATAGTAAGATGAAAAACTACTCTTCTTCCTAAAACTGGGTGGTCCTGCTTTGTAAAAGGCACCTGGAAAAATTAAATCACTTGTCAGTGCTTTCTTTACAGCTTCGATGGGATCCTGCATGCCCTGGGGTCAGGGACAGAAGCGTAATAGCTCTCTCCATACCTTTCTAATACCATGCACAATCAGGTTTCAAGCACCTAACTGAAAATTTGGTTGCATCATGGCCCCAGGCAAATCATCACTAAATCTCACCCTGCTTTCACCTTCTCCATCCAATCCCTTGCCACCGTTTCTGCACTTCCACGTGCTGCTCAACGGAACAATATCTGGGAGGGATAAGATTTGAGGATGGTAAACCCATGATAAAGACACAGAACACTTTTCTTTCCTTCTCCTATTAAATACCACAAAAGTAGCTCTGATACTGATTTAGCTTTACATTATTTTTTACATACCTTGCTTATTTCAAATCCAAATACTTCCTCAAAGTAAGCAGGCTGGCTAATAAGCAGCAAGTAAAAAGTCCAGCTTCTACAGAAGTTTGCAACAATTATTGCATAGACTGGCATAGATGTAAAAAATTTTCTCCATGGAGTTTTGTATTTCTGAAACACAGAAGAGGGGATCCAGTCACCATTTTGATCATTATCAACCATTTGTCTTCCCTTTTTCTAGATGGTATGTTTATCTGTACTGCAAGAAGCTTATATATGCAGAGCCCTATATATTTGAATCCATATGACTTCAATTATCAAGAAGGACATGAGTCCACATTTGAATGATCATGATTTAATTTAAAAACACAAGCAAGTAAAAATTACTACAAAATGCACAAGTGGAGAAACTCAGTGATACTTTGCTGTATCACAGCCCTCATGTAAATGCTATTATCTCCATTATGTAAACACGGACATACAAAGTCTGAAATGATCATATGTCTTTAAAAAATAATGTTGCTGTATCTAAAGCAACAGTCAGATTTTACTCTGCAAGCCCACAATTTCATCCAGACTTATTTTAAACATGGCTTTGTATTTACATATTAATAAAATATTCTGAATAATATTTTTTTCTATCAAGTCTCAGCTGAAACTGCTTGGTCAAGGTATTTTTTGTTTGTTTTATTGTATTTTTAACATTAATTGCATAATGGATAAAAAAAGACAGATGGACAGAACTACAGTCCTGCTGAGTCCCACCACCTCTCCACGAGCCAAGGGTTGTGCCCATCTGTGTTGATATAGGATCCAGACCCAGATGAGTGTTTGAAAATCACTTCAGCAAGGTTCCAGGTTGAATTTAGTCTACTGTTGATTTGAGTACTGGCTTTTCTTCCCAGAAAACCAGTCCATAAATGGATATATGCAATAACTTTTATGCCTATTAAATAGCACTTGAGAGCTAAAGTTTAACTGTGCCTTTATTAATGAGAAGCCAGCCAGAAAAGCTAACCTGATCCTATGGAAGAATTCAGCCTACATGTTTTAGAAATACCTGAACTATTGACACAAACACTTCCAAAAAATTTTTAATTAAAAAAAAAACAAAACCACAATGAAAAATAGACAGATATTATCCAGCTCAAGTCAGAGTTATGTGGACATCCTTTGAAGTATCTCAGTATCTCATGTCATGTCACATTTTGCAAAGCACTTGTAGGTATAAGAAACCATGAACACTGATGAATGCTGTTAGCAATCCAGACACTTCCTCAAGAACTCCTAAAAATGTCAGCTATTGAGAAATGTCATATTTCTAGTTCCCTATTTAGTGTGGACCAAAGCTTTTTAAGAAAAGAAAAATGTTTTATTCCTGAATTCAATCAAGAACCAATGTTCTGACCAATTAGAAAGCGTAATGAAGAGTGCAACTTGCAGTTTTTCTTGCAAATGAAACAGAGAATAGACAGGATTTGCTTTGTTAGAAGTTCTGAAGACTTCAAGAGACACTGAGTAGTGCTTTTCCTCCAGTTTACTTTTAGGAAGAAGAAATCCTTCCAGAAAGGATTATATAGGAAGGAAATTAGCAGCTTCAACTCAAGAAAATATAAAAGTCGTAATAAAACTGCAATTTTAAATGCAACCATAGCTCCTTTTTATACTTTGGAGTAGAAAACCAGGCAGAAATTCCATGAGTGATCTGCTGGAGGAACTGGAACCTGTATTCTGTTTGTTCAGAAGCAATACTCACCCAGAAATCCATCAGTAGATTTCAGATCTCCCTACCGCGCCCCCCCCCCCCCCGAAAATCAATTGTTTGAGACATTATTTTCTTCCTTAAAGAAGAAGGCTGTTTGATCTTTTTTGTCTGTTTCTTTCTATTTGGTTTTAGGGAGTTTTATTACTATGTGATAGGGATCAAGTGTGTGAGTAATATTCTTACTTCCATTGCACCTAGAAGATTGGCACTCTCTCCAATGCTTTCCTCTATGTATCTCCTTTCTTCATCTGTGATTGTAGGATGCATTGCAGGACTCTCATATGAAACCAGAAGCCAAAACATGTACCAGACTATACCAAAGCTCCCTTTGGAATGAAAAGAAAGGCTTTAAAAAGAAATGAACTGTAAAGCAGGAAACAAGGGGGAAAAAAATCTATGATATGTGAATAAATATAACAAATTTAAATGGCAGTTGTTGTTACTGCTCCTCTACTGAGTCATTCTAACAGACAGTTGGGTACTGCAAACACAATTTGTGCAAAGTGCATGCAGAGCTGAAGCACAGTGAACATTTCTTTCTTTTATTTAAGAATCATTTCACTGTAAGTGAATATTCACTGATATTTTAGCATCAATTTGTATAATGCAATCCAATGACCCAGCTTCCATTTCATTTCACCAGCTTGGAAATGAAGTCCCATTCTGCTTTAAGCCACGGTTTTTTGATAACTGCACTAAATTTTTTACCTGCAAAATACAAGTCTGTGGCATTGTTTTCAACATAGCAATGCACTTCTTGAGTAGTTTATTAAGTTTGTATAAGGTGTCCCCCTAATTCACATCAATTTTACACTGTAGAATGAGCTCCTTTGGGACATTCTTTTCTGTTGATGTAAGTTAAGGTAGCACAAGTAGTGTGAATAAAATTATGTAGGTCTTCAGATAAAAATTAGGACATTAGACAGGCAAGTACTCTAAACTTACAGTTGTATGAAGGAAAGGGCAACTTTACATGGCAGGAGATTATATAGAGCTGCATAGCAGTTTGCACTACTTGTACTGGAAGTGACCAAGTTTTCACCATGAACTGCCTTGTCTTCTTATTTAATAATGTTGCTTTCCTACTGTTTCCTTTAAATTCTGTACTTTCCCTGTTCTTTTCTCTCAACTGTATTTTCAGCTTTATGGACCCACTTCTCTTTTTTTGGCCTCTTACCGGTAGCTTTTACATTTTTAGAAGGCGTAGAATAAGGTCATACAATATTGGAGTGAGGTGAGCAAAACTGCATACCGTACACATAGAACACAGAAGACCACCCAGTATATTGCACCAGAATTCCAGCTAAAGGCATTGCAATAACAGCTCCTGCATAGGAACCTACAAAACAAGATGTGTTGATGAAAAAGGAGAAATCAGTCTGAAAATAGTTTTACATTATGAGTGAAAGAAAGTCAAGGATAGAAAGGTACTTACCACAAAAGGAGGTGGTTGCTAACCTACTTCTTTCTAATGGGGGGGCCCACTTGCTCCAAATCCCGTGGCATGCAGGGTAGGTGACCCCCTGAGAAATGGGTGTCAGAGGTTAGCTGATGATCATCAAGCAGTTACTTCAGTGTCTTTGCACAATTATGATTTTTAATTGCTAGAAACAAGAAGTTGAGAACACTTTGCATTCCTATAGCAAAGTCTGAGCACAGCCATAGAGGAGCTGTGATTTCTATTCAAGCTGAAATGGGGTTTGTATATCACTCCAAATGTCGTGGTTTAAACCCAGCCACACAGTTTCTCTCTCACTTCCCCCCTTCTTGCCCTCCCCCAGCTCCCGGAGAGATGGGGAGGAGAGTCAAAAAGAATGTAACTCCCACAGGTTGAGATAAGAACAGTTTAGTAACTAAGGTATAACACAAATCACTGCTGCTACCACCAATAAAATAATGACAAAGGAAATAACAAGGGAAGAGAATACAACACCTCACCACCCACCAACTGATAACTCACCCCACCCTGCCCGACCGAGCACCAATCCATACCTACTCCAACCCCACTGTGAACTAGCCTGTCCGGGTAACTCTCAGTTACATCCTGGGCATGGTGTGCTGTGGTATGGAATACCTCTTTGGTCAGTTTGGGTCAGGTGTCCTGTCTCTGCTTCCTCCCGGCTTCCCCTCCTCCCTGGCAGAGCACGAGGCTCAGAAAGTCCTTGGTCAGTCTAAACATTTGAGCAGTAACTAAAACCATCGGTGTTATCAGCGCTGTTCCCAGGCCAAAAGTCAAAACCACAGCGCTGCACCAGCTACTAAGAAGGAGAAAAATGACTGCAACTGCTGAACCCAGGACACCAATGTATTCAAGAGGTGTTATGAATTACAGTTATTTTCATTTCCTTTTCCTACCTCTCCCCCTTACGAGAAAGGGAGAATTAAAAGAATCTTAATGCACAAGAAGGAAAGACGAAAGCACAGACCCTCTGGAGTCTTTCTAATGCTGGGCTGAATTCTCCAACCCTCTGTTTTGCTGGCCTTCCAACTTCTTTTCATCTAACATTTTAAGTAGAATTTAGGAAAAACAGATTACTGTTCCACTGCTTTAAAACTAGAAAATATGATCCATAAAAGCTTAAAAATAGAATGTTTAGAGAAAAGTTTTTCACTCTGTCTTTAATGAGTCTTCTTGAGCACTTAAAGCAAATAATTGAATGATGTCAGTTGGTTTCATTTTAAACCAGGTACTTTTTAGGTCTCTCTTGAAAACAAGCCTTTAACTTACTAATAATAAAGAAAAATGCAATTAAATAAATAACATCATTACATCCTGCAGTATTGATAATTTAGAAAATGTAATATGGAATGTACAGCAATTTTCCTCAGAACTCCTACTTGAGAATAGCTCTGATGCACGTATAGTTACTGTCACTTTTCTCTCAGTCTGATAATTTGTTTCCCGTGCAAAAAATAGAATAATAAGTTTTTGTGAATGTTGAGGTTATTATAAATTTTGAGCTTATCAGTCTCAATGTGCAATCATTGTAAAATACATTCTTCTGGTTTGAAAGAAGATCACATGCCAAATTTCATGTTTATTTCAGTCTTCTTGACTTTTTTTTTAAAGAAAAAGTACATAATCTTAAGATTGTAATGTTTTATTATAAACCCTCTAAAATGCTCCTATTTGAGATGTTTTGTATTCACAATACCTTTGAACAGTATTACAGAAATGTCTCTATTCTGTTTTGTAATTACCCGCTTGTTTCTATTCCTTTCTTTGCAGACAGGCTCACCTCTTTTCCTCACAGATCGCATTTCAGGATTGCATCCACATTTATACACATATACTTTAAGAACTTGACTGACAGTTACCTAACTTTCAAGCACGTTCTGCACCCTCTTTTGGAGTCTTTTTATACAATAAAGGGCATGAGTTAAGATCATCTTATACAGTGGAAATGTGCACCCTGAGGGGCAAAGAACCAGCAATCACAGGCCTAAAAATCTGTCTTTCAGTAAAGAAACAAGAAAAAAAAATAATTAGAAGGCAGGCTCAATTTTTTTCTCTTTTAAATTATGGTAAAACTCTCATTCATTCCAACAAGAGTGTGGTCAGGGCCTATGATAGAAGCTTAGTTCCTTATTACAGATTTAATCTGGGAGGCTGGGTAGGAAATAGCTGTTGGGAATAGCACCATTATAAGCCCTATGCGGTACAAGATTTCAGTGGAACTTCACTGCTAAATACATCCCTCACCAGCTTCTTAGCAAGAGACAACTTTGCTATAAATTTTATAGATGAAGGAAAATCAAATAGCTGTAAGCCACACGCTGAAACCCATTACACTGGAATAAGTAATAAACTAAAAGCCTTTTTTGTTTCCCCTGCCAAAATCACAATTTCTAGTTAAAGGCTAACAAACATCTGTCCCTTTTCCTGGTTATTTTGTGATTTCTCCTTACCTCTACAAGGCCCTGCAAGATCCTCACAAAGATGACGCATCCGTAGTGCACCCTGGCTGCAGATGGTATGAGCATGTTGAGTGAGGATGTCAGCAGTATAGCAGCACCAAATACTCTGTGGATATGGGGAAACAAAAGACAAGGAAGTAACTTCAGTGTTGTTCCAATTGACTTGCTCCACATATGTTCACGTATCAATATAGACGTATTTAAACATATGTTCTTTATGTAGGGAATATACTAAATGCTGGACTGAATTAGTGTCTGCTTCCATCTAGTGTAACAACCTGCCTGATAAGACCCAGACCAAACATGGACATAAACATCTATTTAGCCTAATTTCCTAAGGAAATACATCTTATGAAATCACAGTTATACATCTTATTCTCCCCATAAATCCCCACTCTTCCATTTTCACATCTATTTCAACCAAATCTGATTGAATTCACCACCCTCTAGAGAAATTAGGAACTAGGTCTCCAAATGGTTTGCTAAAACAGTTGGCCAAGAAAACAAGAGATTTTCATTAATGCTTTAACTGTAAGAAAGTGGCACCATGCATTCATTGCTTATAAAGCTGTAGAAAATCTGCTTTTATAAATGCCAAAGCAGCAGGAAGAATTTCAAACAGAGCTGGGATTTTCTTAGACACAAGAGTAAATTAATTTGGAATCTCATATGCATAGAGCGGATCATTCTTTCTGCTGTTTTTTCAGAGGCTACTCATTGAATACTGCTGATTTTGATTCCAAGAGCATCCTAGGAATTGCTTCCAATAAAGCATATTACAAGGTCGAAATAAATGTGTGAAGTGACGATCCATTTGCAAAATTCTACTGCTTTGGCTGAATTGTAACTTGATTCAATTGATATCTGCCCCTTATAGGAGAAAGGCTTTTCTCCAGCAATATTACATCATATTTATGTTCATTCATTGTGGAAATAATAATTTTTTTCCACCATTTTCCTTTCAATGGAATTTTGCAAAGGGATGAAACCAGTAGCAATGACTGGCCACTTTCTTTATACAAGACTATGTAATGCTAAGATAAATCTTGGAGATGTCTTAACATATGATATCACAGTATCTGATGTGGAAATGATTTGACAGAAACCTTTAACCTCAGCATGTGTTCTTCAGAAATTGGTACAGTGCCATAAGTTAGTAAGAAACAGACCTCAGACTAAAGGAGCAGGAAACATCAATAAGTTTCAAGGCAAAAATTCTCCTCAAAGACATCTGTTTCACGTCCTTTCTTTCGAATTACAGAATTCTTTAGAATAATTTGAAATTATTTAAAGAGCTGTATCTTTAAATAGCTGAGTGTACTCCACTTCTATTTGACAAATATTAAAGGGCAGCAGAAAAAAAAGCCTTGGCACAGTAAGGAAGCTTAGTTCAATAGCTCTAAATCTGGTCTCGTCATTGTGTTTCCTGTGATCCCCCCCTCATGTTAAACACTATCTAGCCGTGCAGCGCAGTTCTGGCTGTGTTTGGCAGCATGTTCAGTACCTTTACTAGGACTGACTGGTGCAGTATGTGAACTATTCTGGCCTGAACTCAGCCTTTACTCTTAACTTCCTTATGTGTAAGTTTCTAATCCAGAAGTATATGCAGTTTGTTTCTTTACAATTTAATACCACCATGTGCTCACATAAACCACAATGGTGTTTTGGGTTTCATTTGCTTTCATCTTTATTTATTCATGATAAGAGTTTGGGACTCACAGGATTTTTGTTTGTGATTTTTAACAATTTCTTTTAAAAAGTGAGATGTTCTTGTTAGCCATTTTTGAAGAGCAATAGGCTCCAACAGTTCTAAAGGTCCATCAAGAAAATCATTCTTCACTCATAAACAGGAAGGACTAGTTTGTACCCTTTACTCTTTCTTTCCTGAACAGCTATGCAGCCAAATGCCTACTGCAGCAATATGGTTTTCAATTTGTATCTGTGCATAGACTTGCTGGAGCAGATTCTTAGCTAGTGTGAATCAGTGCAACTCTTTCTAAATCACTATTCATGTTAAAATCACACCAAGATGGAATTTTAAAAAATGCCATTTCTTTAGGAGGATGAGATTTGTAAAATTGTTGTGCTAGGTAGCTGTTTCTTCAAGGAAATTTGCTCCAGTTTTTCAATTCTGTATCTGCAATCAGCTCCTGTTTGCCACAACTGAAAGCTGTGCTTCCCAGAATTGCTTTTGTCCTCATGTTCATTAAAGAGAAGCTGTTTCCTTGTGTCTGCTCCTTCTAGAAGAGAAAGGAAAATGTAATTTAAGGAATCACCAGAAGCATGCATCTCCCAAGTGAAATCCTTGCCTGTATTTAGACAAACAAGTATCAGTGAATATTTAATTACATCGAGGAGCAGATGAGGAAATAACTCCACAATGTCACTTGTAAGTCAGTTGTCTCTCAGACCTATACTTTGTATAGGTCTCAAAGATAGAGCGATTTCCCCCAAAAGAAAATATATGTATTTAAGTGTAGAATAAATTAGAGTTCAATTATGATTCTTGTAAGAAATGGCTTTTTTATACTTCTTTTTTGAATGCACATTAAAAGCAGCACCATGAATTTAGTACACAGCTATTAATGAATCAGCTTCCTCTATAACTCTTAGTCAAAAGCAAATACATCTTCCCACATTTACTTTGCATCTCAGTGCACATCCACAAATAGAATCAGTATTTCTCCTTCATGCTCTTTTGTTTTGTTACACTTATTTCACCTCCATACATACTAAACTCTTCTTCCTAACAATGTATTGTGATATAGTTCTGGCTTTTGTCCAATCTTACTGTTATATTTAATATCTCAGCTAACTGCTTTTATTATGATTTAGATCAAAGAAGAATGGTTTTGAGCTACAATAAACCAAAATATATTTGAATGCTGCACACATTGAAATACATTTAATTGGGAAATGGAACATTCCGATTGCTCTTAAGGCATTTCTAAGCATTTTACTGACCCACACATCAACCTCACAAATGAAATTTTTCTTTTTTTTTTGTGCTTATGTTTTACTTATGTTTATGAAACTAGTGATATTATGATCTGGTGTGTTTCTGTTTTGCTTCCAAACAATTCGCATTTGCTCAATTTTGCTACAATACGAATTCCAACAGTGGGTTAGAAACCATGTTTTTCTTTAAGATCCTTATGTTTCCATGGCAAATTGACAGTATGCGGGGTTCCATAGTTGTATTTCTTGCAGCTGACAATGCATTTCTTCAGTCCTGATTTCTACAGTGACATGGGTTTGTGGAGAAGGCTTCACACCTCGAGCACCAACACCACTAACATTCACACCTCTTACAGAGTGAGCCAAGCGTTGCTGCATGGTGTCATTTGGGTTGAGCTCAGACTAAGAAATCACGTAGCCGTGCTGTTGAATTTTCAGTCAGAGGTATCCCTGAACATCCATTTCATGTTGTGCACACTCCAAACCCCATAAAACAGAATCATAGATTAGTTTGGGTTGGAAGGGACCTTCAAAGGTCATCTAGTCCACCCCGCAACTTTTTAACATGTTCGAATGCTGCAACACAAATAAAGAGCCTTAGCAGATTGCAGGTAAACTGGGAAAACAGCAGCATGCCACAGTGACAGGGCAGGTCAGGCCAATGATACAGCCACCATTCTTGGCCCTGGCACTGAAATGCCCTGACATACCTCCACCAGCCCTAGACTTGGGGGAAATTCCCTTTTTGACTCAAAATCAGAAACTGTATACATATCTGCATATACACACAATTGTTTTTTTTGTTATATATATATTTATATACATGTATATACAGAAGAAGACAAATAAATACAATACTAGTATGTCTAGGAGAGACAAAAAAGATAAATCCTGGTCCTCATAAGTGACCAGAAGCAGCCCTGAAACAAAGAATTATGCTTTGCTTATCTATTCCTATTTCTAGACTCAGTAGACTTGGACCTGAAAGACAGAATCCAACACTGATCCTCAGTGTTTTACTGACGTTGGCATTATACGAAGGTCATAAGCTGTGACTTAGTCCTCCTGTAATACAAGCAGTAATAATAGTAAAATCATATTTGACTAAGAGATGTTTGGGATGGGAGCAGAAGAAGGAAATGACTCTGGCAGTTCAGGAAAAATGCTTAGAATGGAATGAAGTTGCAGGGGGAATTAATCTTTTTGGATTTCAAGCCAGCTGGCTCATTTTTCTCTTTGGGGACAAACTAAAGAGAAAAAAAATATGTATTTATTTTCATCTCTGGATTTCTAATCTGCATCTGTGCAGCCCCACTGTTCTCATCTACCTTTTCCAGGGAATTCATACTGCATGAGTATTCTGCATACAAGTACTATACAGATACTGTCAGTCAGCTGGAAGAAGTGGCAGCTCAAAAAGTGAGCTGAGACCAGTGGGAGCACAGAGGCACACCACACGCTAAATGCCATATGGGTGACGTATTGGCTTACACATATGAGATCTAAATGTAAGGGGTCCTGCTTGGAAGCATCCTCTCACCCCAGTGACTGGGAGTGAAAATCCCTCGCTTGTATATGGGAAGGAGTCAGTTCCTTAGCTGTCTGAATCGCATGTATTTCTGTTTATGTAATTTTTAATATAATTGGCAAATTCCACAATTACCTATATCGCTGTTCTTTAAATAATTGGTCCAACTTTGTAAGAATGAAACTACTATGGAAACCAAATGCTATGTCTGCTCCAAAGCATATGAAGTGCCTTAACTTATTGAATGTATCTAAAAAAATAACTGCATCTTGACTATCCTTTGATATTTGTTCTTGAGCAATGCTTATTTGGTGAGTCCCAGGGCAGGAGCAGCAGCTCACTGCTGAGCACAGATCACACAAAATGACTTTTTAGACTATTCTGTCAGCTCAAGATTTCTAAAATTTATTCCTTTTAACTCTCACTACTATCACTCATCTTTGACGCTCCTCTTCCTGTAAAAGACCAACACCACGAAATAGAACTCATGTTAATTTTCATACAACACGCAGAATTTCTTGTCTGAGAGGAGCTGCAAGGCTGAATTCTGGATTAAATGCTTCATTTTTTTGAGTAAAACATAATGTCTAGGGAGAAACAGGGCAGGAGCAAGCTGGAAT